AAGTTGAGAATATTCCGTATGCATGGTGACACACGTGGCGAGCGGCATAGGTTTTTCGTCATTCGCGAAATAAGATGCTCCTGGGTTACCATTGTCTCCAATGCGTGTCGCACATAAAAGAGCACGAGCCGATTCGCAGTGGTGAACGAAATCAGTGATAATGAACAAGTGGGTACTCACGTGGAAACTGAGGGCGTTTCAAATATGCAGGAGGTAATCCTTGTTTCACCGAATACATTACGAAAAAAATGTATTTGATTTTATCGTGGGACCGAAGCGGAACCTACAAGCGCCAGCATGTTACCCTGAACTACTCTTCCAGCGAACAAGCGAACCGTTCAAAGGATGGAGCTCGCCTTTATAGGTTTTGGTGCGCTCAGACCTTTGTAAGGACAATTGTAAAAAATTCAATTATTTCATTTTTTTTATTAAGTGCGCCTATCTTTTCTACTGAGACGTTTTAATGCTTTGTGTTTTGTTTTAATATCATTGCTACTTTCCCTTGTGCATATCATCCCATAATTATCATAACTAGATGTGGCACCGCGGGCTTCCATGGTACGGGCTGTCGCTTTTCCGCGGTGCCACGGCTCTCCTAAGCCAATAAAAATTACTCTTACTCCTAAACACCCCCGAGGTGGTTTTTGGAAAAAAATATAGTCGAACCATTCCGACAAGCATAGTTCGATTGCAGAAATGAGTTTTGCACTTCATAAAAACATTCAAAAATTTGCAGATGTTGCGGAATCCCAAATGGCGGAATCCCTTTCATTGCGCCGAATTAATTTGGATCGCGTCAGGCATGTGTAGCGACGCACAGCAGAAGGCGCGAAGAAGCAGCTGCGGTGTACCCGCAGCCTTGCGCTTGTTGTTCTGACTAGAGCCACTAAATAAGCTGCGCTTAGACTATCGGCACTCAGTTCCCCGACATTGTTGTGGGCGCCGCCATTTTGGCTCGTATGCAGAACAGACGCAGCGGCCGATCGTCATGATTCAAAATTGCGACTTCCTCAGGATTAGATTTGGTATTAGGAAGCTCATGTGATGTTGTTTTGCTCTGTCGCGAACGGTTTAAACATTTGCGGAGGGCGCAAAAGCATTTCCTGAGATTTCAGATAAAGCTTCAGATAACTGGCAACCATGATTTTAAGACACAATATGGCCAAGTGTCGTTACTCTGAAGCGTAGCTTATTTAGTGGCACTAGTTCTGACATCTCTGGCTCGCTCACTGCGGGCATCCAGGCATCTGACACTCTGACATCTGGCTCTTCTTCTGTGTTGCACGTGGCGTTCCAAGAGGCATACTACGACGAATGCACATCAGGCTATTCTTGAACACATGTCGCCGTCTGTAATTTATATTAAAAGACTGCAATTTGTCGTAACTGAATGGGAAATGTTTGAGGTCTAATTATATTCTTCACGTGTAGTATATCAATATGGAAATTCTGGAAAATATAATATCGAAGGATGCTTCGTAATTTAATGTCTCATAATTTTGATTAGTTAACGGGATTCCGTTTTTATAGTCCCATAAAATAATACCATATTAAACTTCATTTTTTTTTATTTTAAAATATATATTATCTGTACAGTTAGTAGCTTACTTTTTTATTTCGTTATATCCAACCGAACGCTCACGTAAAATGTCGTGGACGATGGGACGTTATAACTCGAGAGATAATTTTTTGAATATTAGAGACTGTGGTCTATTAAAGGCTGAATAATTAAGCAACTAAAAATAATCATAATATCCGTTACAAGTAATCGTTCCGGTTACTTGTACGTAAGCTTTTGTAACGTAACGTAGCAGAAGACAACGGGGCTGTGAAGTAGCCTTCATGTTTTCTTGAAGCCCGAGAGGTTATGGGACATCGAAAACCTTATTAGTCCTGTGTTAATCCACAGTACAGTCACAGCGACAGCTGCGACAAGTCACGGCTTTCTCGTGAGGCTTCGGCGCCGCGTTCACGCACCGCGGGGTGCGTGAAGGAAAGCATTCGGAATAAAATAGACACCCGACCTTTTTGTCCCAAACGCTTTTGTTTTTGTTTTGTTCGAGAGCACGTGCAAGAGCACCTCCCGACTGGAGCTCTTGGCATTGGTAGTGCTATAACCGAATTTTTTTATCGGCTATATTTTTTTTTCAAGGAATGCGTGCCCCTATTGAAAATTCTCATTTGTATGAGAAATTTCTGTGCCCAATAAACACATATGAATCATACAAGATATATAAGAACATATAAGAACCGTATAAGAACCATATAAGAGCTATATAAGAACTATATAAGGTATATGAGAACATACAAGCACCATATAAGAAACTATTGGGAAGTTTCTTATAAGTTTCTTATATGGTTCTTATATGTTCTTATATGTTCTTACATGTCTTGTATGATTCATATGTGTTTATTGGACACAAAAAAATTTCTCATACAAATGATTTTTTTTACTAGGGGCAGTAGGGATTGGGTGCTACAAAAACTCTTAACTGCGTGACGCAAAGTGTAGGAACGTAGCTCAGCATAGCCGCCGAGCGCCGCCATCCTCGAACTAAGAAGACAAATTGCCCAGAGAAGGCCGATGCCTCGTTGGCAACACTTGTGGGCTCTGAGTTTTCTTATTCCAATGTCAGCGGCCTTGTGTATTTAGAACTGCCGTAGGAAACATATTTGTTGAAGGTCGTTATTTAGTTTTACACAAACGCAACTATTAACGTCTTTAAATTCTTGTAAAATTGCTTTGCCAACTACATTATCAAAAATAGAATTTTGGATTCGCTTCCCGTCTTTCCACCCTCCCCCTCCCCCCCTTTCCCCTTCTCCCCTCTCCCAGTTTGGGGGACGAAGACGCGGACATTTAGCCGGCTGAAATATTCACGCACTAAAAAGCTTATTTCAGAGATTATTTTTTTTTTATATATATGACGCACCCTTGAGGCATTTCGGACAACGAAACATATTGATGTGAAGGTCGTCATTGGTCCTTCCGAAACATACAAGATATATACTCTATCTCAGGAGTTGTGTGCAGCAAAGGCATTGGCGCGGGCACGTGGTTTTCAGATATGCTTTCTTTTCGCAAGTGCTCGTGAAAGGAAAGCAAATATGGAAGCTAGGCCCAAGTGCCTGTGCTTTTGCCCCTGCTGCACGCAACTCGTGAGATGCAGTATAGATTTTTTTTTCTAGTCTTGTAACGGCAGAAAAGTAGTTTTGTGCCTTTAACCTTGAATCGCCGACCGTTTGTGGCCTTAGCAGTAGCTGTGACACACCGCTGGACGCTGAAACGGCTGGTTCTGGCACAGTTCCTCCGTTTGCAACATTGGTAAACAACGTTTGCTTCACGCTTCATTGTTTGCAGCTGGCAACCGAGATGTAAGCTGTGCCCAGTTGCAACTGATGGGAAAGAGCCATAGCGGTGAATATACAATCTCTCCTCTATCTGATACTGCATTGGCTGTAAGCTGTGACATGGACAGCGACGGCGGCGGATGGACAGTAAGCGTTACCACTTGTTTTCTCATTTCCTCGTTCCTCATTTCGACCAAAACGTAACGGTAAAGGGACGCTGAAATTAAAACAGTTTCTTGAAAGCTTACTTGGAACGCGCAGTGTTCAAGAAACCCTTTTACACCGAAATATAGACGCGATATAGGTAAATGCTGTGGCCCGCTCTAAGCCAAGCCCAGAAACCAGTGGTCTCACCCATTACTACTAGGCTCATTGGGCTGCTCGATCCAGTACGATAACAAGCATAGTGTCTCGGTTTCTCGATATATCCGGCACGTCTAGTCGGGCGTCTGACACCACGTGCTAGTCGTGCGAGCAGACTCGCGGCAGCCTCCGGCATCGTCTGCTGTTCCACACCACCGTCCACCGTCGTCCGCAACACCCATAAGACACGGACACGAAAGCTGCGCGTCGGCGTTTGTTTTCGCCCCCTTCCGTCTGCTATTTTGACCCCGTCAAAAAAACTTCTGCAACGCTCAGAAGACGCGATCATGAAAGCGGCGTTCTAGCCTTGAACGAGCCACGGGCCAATATAAGCGTCTGTCAGCTTCTTTCGATGTGGTGACCTATCAAGGAATAAGCGACCGAGAAAACAAAATAAACAAAATAAAATGTAGTCTTTCTAGCTTTACTGAATTTATCTTTTTTTTCTTCAACTTGCATTTCCGAGTAAAATGGATGAGCGTCATGACGCACAATTAAAGCTCGACGTAAACCCACTCGCTTTGGTAGGCCGGGTGCACCACAGATCTTGAAAGTTACTTTCCTTTCGAGGCGAAATGGCGGTAACATACGACAAACGTGATGTGAGCCGAACGCCCGATGGCCTCCAGCCGAACCGCTTGCCAATTCTCACGTGTCTAGGTATCTTCTCGCCATTGACACCATGATCGCAATCATGACGCTTGCGGAATTCACATATCAGCGGGGACGCTTTTAAGACTACCAAAATCTTTATTTAGCATTAGCTAGCGCAAAAAAAAAAAGCATTCAGGTAGCACTTCCAAAGGCGCGTACTTGCGACAGTTCTTTGCTGCAAACTACGTCGGTTGAGTAGAGCTTCCTCTCGACATCTGTGGGAACTCAAAACGACTCGCACTCATACAAATTCGCAAGCTCAACGAGCTACGCTTGTTAAGCACTCCTAAGACTCGGCAGCCATGTTTGTTGATGTTAACGAGCCAGAAACATTAAAGGGAACGCAATTCGTTTTCAAAAAATAATAATGCAAAGGCGCCCCGAATAATATCATTCAGACACGGCTCCAACAAGCGGACTGGATAAAGTGTGCGCCTTAACTCCCTTCGGCCTGGGTTTCCATTGTCCAGTGATATGTCGCTCTGGAATATATATTTGCATGAATATGGTCAGCCAAGACGCCAAGACCGCCCTTGCCAGGCGGCTTCAACGTGTCTGCGAGCGTCCCCGAACCAGGCGGGAGAGAAGCGGGCACTTTGGGGCGTGAATCTCACAGTTACATTTTGAGGAACATGAAGAATTGGCAAGCAAGATTCACGTCGTGCGTCCTCTTCAACCGACTTTCAGGTAATTCAACGTCGGGGCATGTATGAACCAGAGGGAAACAACTTCGAGAGAAACTTCAAAGAATACGAGGATGGATTTCGTATAACCACCGGACATACATCCACCGGACGTACATCCACCGGAGACTGGATAGGTAAATACAAATATTATAATGCTTGCGTATTGCTTGTTACAAAAGGCAACAGCGAATGATAGAGAACAAATGCATTGGTTCCCGCTAAACTCTAGTGAACCAAGAATACGTCCACAGTGCCAAGGTGTCACTTAACGCCGTGGCGTTACGTAAAGTTGTAACATCATGGCACATGGTATGGTTTCCCGGTAAAGTTAGTGGCGAAAATTCAATACCCGTCACGTCACATTTGTCAGTTACCTTATATCTCTCTATAGAATCACACTTCAAATAAAGAAAATAAGGTATTCTTGTGTGAACAAAGCAAGTTGTGATTTAAAACAAAACCATTTAGCAAAAATACTGTCAGCCGACAGCAATGACTGGTAGTGTAGTATATATGTACTTTACGATTGGCAATGATACTTTGCATCAAAAACAAGCTGCCGCTATGAGTTATTTGACGAGCATTTAATCTTCCTCGTGAATACAAACAATTACAAAACAGTTTTGGCTGATCGTCAGCTATCGGTCCACATGAATATATAGTATTATAATTAAAAAAGTGTGAATTGTTTTCTTCAGTTGAATACTTTTTTTGTTTTAAATGGCCTTTGGCTAGTTTAGTTTAATCCGTATTTTTAATAAACACCAGATTAGGGAAATCCGGAAACCTTTGCCGACGATTGCATACTTTTAGGTTTAAAAAATTATGTTCATTCCTCCACATTAACTTAGGAGTGAGCTTAGGCTCTACCGAAATTCTAACATAGTCTACTACAAGACGGGATAATAGCTTAGCTTTATCTTTGAAGGAGGGGCTTGTGTTCTATTCCTAAACAGATTTTGTACTTTTCATTGAAGGGAACCAAAATCTTCATGCACTCACGAGCTGCCCACATAACCCACAAGTCCTCAGAATTGAACTGACGAAAAAGCAAGGAGAGAGCCCAATTGTTATGCAGTACCGTAAATTTAGTGTTGGCTCCAAAAGTGAGAACTACAAGCTGACCGTCGGTGATTACTCTGGTCCTGATGGTAGGTATCGGCGCTTTAGCCATGTTTCTCACTCCGCCTGCAGCGCTGCGTTAGTCGCTGTTTACGCGACGTTAGAGACTAACTCTAGAAGTTACAAAATTCCATCAGCGTCTTACTGCCGTCTCACCCCCCCCCCCCTTTCTTCAAAGGCTTACTTAGGACGATCCGTGTGTTCATTCTAGTGACTCTAGTTTGAACCAACGTTATTAGATAATAGTAGAACATTGGAGGCGAGCCGTGTCTGTCAGGAGCTAGAGGGAACAAATTGTAGCAACATTTTAAACTGGATAAGTCACGATAAAGTAAGCATGCTTTTTCTTAGAGAACAAAAAATAGATAGTCCCATTTATTTTTATTTGCACGATGAGCATCACGTGTTTGACATCCCAGTTCTCATGGTCAACGATTCTGAGCCCAAAACAAAATCACAAAGAGGGAATTAAAAGCGTAGTAGCAAATGCAGTACCCAATAAAACATAGAAGGTGAACAAAAACCTGCGTGACAACGCAGTCTAAAAATTAATTAAAAAAAAAACATCTCCTTGGCTCATATCGCGTACAGAACCGAGCAACGCGCTCGTGGTCGATATCGATTCGCTGCCATCCTGCAATCACTGACAGCTTAAGAAGCGCGGGAAAATGCCGATTTCGAGCCAATTAGTATTGCTCCGCAGTCAATCAGGTTGTGGCATGAGCCGGCATACTAACGAGGAACAAGGACCTCCAAAGCAACAAACGTGAACCTGTCTTGACTCTCTGAAGCTGTCAGAGGCTAACCTTGACCTTCAATTTTACACTATCCGTGAAACGTGCTAGGGCCAACATCTGTTTCGCGATAATTTGAGTGGAAAAGTGAAAAGGCAGGTGGGTGACTCCTCACTGCGAAGCGTCTCGCGAACCCTCGCCAAGTCAAACCCATAAGCGCATTGCGCGGTAAAGCGGAATTGCTCAGGCGCAGTGAACCTTGCTCAAAACATAGTTGTGTGCGTGCGAGACCTCTAGTCCTACCTAGCTGCAGAAGCTCGAATGAACTTGGATTATAGCGTGCTATCAAAGCAAAAATGGTGAATGATCGGCTATGAAAATCATTTGTATGGCCGGTTAAAACAAATTGGCCCAATTAGCTATCGCCGCTTCTATGGCTGTTTATAACTTTTCTTATGGTCTCCCCTAAGGCTGTATGTAGCTTTTTCAATGGAAAGCTATAGAATGTTGTATGGTTTACTATGTGGGTCTCTTTAGGACGGATGCTACAGCCGCCTGTGGTTTTTCTTTTGGTTCCATTACCAGTCTATAGCTTCTTGTATGGTCTGCTATAGATATATATATTGCTTACTCTATGGAGCGTTATAGGCACCTTGCTATAGCAGCCTATGGCTTTTCCTATGGCTCATTTAGCCGTCTATAACTTCTTGTATGGTCTGCTATCGAGATCTTTAAGGCTTACTCTATGGATCTTTTTAGACACCGTGCTATATCAACCTATATCTTTTCTTAAGGTTTATTTACCCGCCTATTGCTCTGTATGGTTTGCTGTAGCTTATTCTATAGCTCGTCCTATGGTTCTTTTTACCATTGTGCTATAGCTGCCTATAGTTTTTCTTTTTACCGCAATCACAAGAAATGTGAAACAAATTATTTGTTGTCACCGTACATTTTACAAAAAATCTTGTATTTAGATATAAAAGAAGATTGGACATCTCCGACTTATTTAAGACGTTTCGAATTTGATAAACTCATTTAAAACATCAAACATACCCTTCAACAACAACAAAAAAATCCCTCGCCCAACTGGCAGGTAAACAGACACAAGGAATTGTTTCCAAATTTCCGACAAGTTTATTACACAAAGTCTATTCTGTAGGCAAGTACAAACTAAGCAATTTGTACTATGTGAAGAGGTACTATTAAACTGCTATACAACTGCGAAGATTGCAAAGCAAACAAGAACCAAGGGTAGTTCCTGCATATTGTCTGGATAGTCCCGGCAGCCGGCAGAATTTTTTCTCCGAAATTCTACCGGCAGTCGCCACACATTGGCTCTGCAATAGGTTCATCGAACGAAGTTACATTGACAGATCGTTTCATCAACACGCGATGGTTTTTAAACTCAAAATAGCTTGTTGCTGTTTTTGTTTTTTTATTTGTGATGAGTTGCTGCAGACTCGCCAAGGAATGGCGTCGACGAGTGGGCTGGATCGGTGATCACGAGCCACAGGAATACAGGCGCGACGAAATGTTCATGCAGCGTTCAATTCGCGTAACAAATGTCAATGAAAGGTTAGTGTCGACAAAACGTGAATTCATGAAACGTGTATCCACGAAAAGGTGTCCATGAAACGTCTTTTCACAAAAGGCCGGCAAAATAAGAAAGTCAGCATTTTACCTGCAGTTGTAACATGATTTCAGACACCTATAGGCAGGCGCCTGCCAGTCCAGTTTCGTAAAAACATATATTCTCCTGGCTGCCAGAAAATAGACACTGCCTAATTCTAGAGGTAATTCGGAAGAGGACCCGTAGAAAAACAGTCAATTGTCGCCGAGTTGGTTGCAGCGCACTTACGTTGAAAATACCTGACTTGAAAGATGCAATCCGAGATATATGTCGACACAGGCACTGCAGAACAACCACTCAAACCCAAAATCGAGAAGGAAGGGATTCGTGAAGACTCACCAAGATGTAGCACAAGTGTAATTTGCCGAACCGAACACTTAACGCATCATAAGAATGTCTTGGACTTCTTTGCAGAAATTGCTTGTTGCCGAGATACGGACTTTTCAATTGAGATACCATTTACCATACATGCGAAATCCACAGCAGCTCCGCGGGCCACACCAAGCACTCAAGAAGGCATTCCGGGATTGGCAAAGGCTAATGCGTCATCCGCCAAACCACGTGATCACGCTCCTGTCGTTACATGCACAGAGAGAGCGGAGTCAAGAGATAAAAAGTCTGCGGTTTATTGGTCAGGCGAGTGCCCACCTTCTACCACGCTTTCAGCTTAGGAAGAGAGAGAAAAAGAGAATCGAGCTGAAAAGTAGAGCTCCTTTAAGGCCAGAACGGGGGTGCGCTCGCAAAAAGTAATCTTCAGTGGCATACCAACAATGTACAGAACGAGAGGATATGTAACTTGTATCCTCTTAAAAGTTTGAGTCAAGGTTGATAGTGCAGTGAATCCTATGTGTGTCTTCGACTTCAGACAGGTGCTGTGTTCTGCATTATCACCAGTTTCGAGACTTTAGTCACGTGACCTAGCCGGAGACAAGGCTAGCCTTGAACGAGCATAGCGTCTACTCTCCTGTCAACACCGAGTGAACAGGACAGCTCCATGAAGGTCGGATTCGAAGGCCGGACCCCGGCCGAAACGTCAAAGATTAAGTCGTCCGTTGTTGCTGTTTTCACTAAGGGTTCTTTTCTTCTTATATATATATATATATATATATATATATATATATATATTTTGTTTCTTGTGCATTAACAAGACAGATGGGAAACACCAGAAAGCCAAGGGAGAGTGGTGTTGTGGGTGATCTTTCAGCTTCCGAAGTGAAAGGACGCATCGCCATGAGCTCCGTAAGAGCTGTTTCAACGGCTACTGATAGCCGTGGTATCACTGCTGAACGAAGGGACGAGGTTGCTTATCGTATCATCCTGCCTACGCTGCCGACAGGCGTATATGCCCTGAACTCCGTTTTCTTCATGCCGACATCGGCGCACGGCCCTACCGTATCGAGGACTTCAAGGACGGACTGGAACATGCCGGAGTCCTAGGAGACATCGCAGCATGTGGTTCGTACCAAATGAACCACGTGTGGATGGTCACCCTCGAGTCACCCACGGCCAAACAAAGGTTGGTGGATAAACAGGCTTTCGAGGTCAAGAGCAGGTGGTGCCTTGTTATCGATCCGGACAAGGTGGAAGTGCGGCTCAAGTTGCACTGGATACCCTTTTATACACCCGATGACAACGTGAAGAAAGCCCTGGAGCCGTATGGCAAGGTCGAGGAGATAGCAAGAGAGACCTGGCGTGTCAACGGGTTTGAAGGGGTGCTGTCGACCACGAGGGCGGCGAGGTTAACGCTAAAGGACGGCGTCACCACCGAACAGCTACCGCATCAACTCCGACTGTCTGGATGCACTGCGCTGGTCGTCGCCCCAGGAAGGGCACCGCTCTGTTTGCGGTGCCGAAGGACCGGTTATATTTGTAAGGAGTGTCGTGTTCCCCGGTGCGAAGGCTGCAGACGCTACGGGCACACCTGCGGGAGTGCATGAAGACATACGCTGACGTGGTGAATGCCGCGATGGAGGACGGGAAGGCCGACCTTCTCATGGACCAGGCGGAGGCCGAAAAGGCTGCGGGTGGGACACCCGGGAATATCGAACCCCAGGGACGGGCCAACACCACCGCAGACGCCCCTGCCCCCTTCCCTGCGACGCCATCCGCGGCACAGCCTCCAACGACCGAGGTTGAAGCTGCTGGCCCATCAGGCGATCAGTCAGCTGGCCGGCTGCCACCTCAGGAACCCGAGCGAGGGGACCAAGACGCCCGCCCAACATCCGAGGCATCCGAAGATGACCAGCATGACTCGGCCGACGCCATGGAAGCCCTGGAAGGCTCTTCCAAGAGACCTCTGGAGCAGCGGCCAACCCAGGACGACGGACAACCGACGACGCTTCAGAGGAGGATGCATGAACGGTGGCAGGCGGTGATGGCCAAGAGGGGCCGATACCGGGCCCTGTCACGAACGCTGACGGACGATCAAGCCCCGAAGGAGGGACGGTCAACTGTAGACGGCTGCAGCCCCTGTGTCGTGTCTATGGAGGCAAGCAAGTAAGCCGGTTGAGGATTTTCAATTTTTTCAGGTGTAATCTCTATGGTTATAATATTGTTTACCGATAATAATGGGGTCCGTATTGCGATGAAATCAAAATGGCTATCAGTTTCGCCCCCTTGAACGTTCGGGGGTTGAACTCAGCAAAGAAGCGGTACCAATTGCAAC